TCTTACCTCTGTGTATGTCTCATCAACATTTGAAAATTTAAGTGTTTTTGGGATATTAATACCCTTCATAAAGAGTGGTGATAGAAGGCTACTGTGCACAGTGTCACCTACAGCAGTTGCACTCTGCTCCTTGTATCCTCCTGCTGCAATCCACAGGAAGTAGATTTAAGTAGACATCAACAAAAGTATAACATATAGTGAAAAAAAATTGGCTCTCCATGAGAAATTGATGGGGTACTTGGCTGGTTGGTATGGATGGATTCTGTGGCAAGATGGGCATTTGTACTTAATTTATAACCGTTGTCTTCACTGTCATGCTGGATTACATTTGTGCCATCATCAATGCCATTGTTCTCTGCAACTTTGGGGCTAATACCCTCCTGAAGGAATGGTGATAGAAGGCTGTGGCGTGCACCTCTAGCAGTTGCGCTCTGTTCCTTGTATCTTTCTACTACAATTCATGGGAACATAGATATAAGTAGACACAAGCAAAAGTCTAACATGTAATAAAAGAAAAATTGGCTCACCATAGGGAGCTGGCCTGAGCGTAGCGACCCGGTTTGGACCCGAATCCAAACCGAATCCTGGAGCGTCTCAACCCGGACCCGAACCGAAACCGATTCTTCCTCACCGGACCCCCTACGACTCCCCCTCTAACTCCCCCCGCTTCACCTCTCACCTGCGCTCCGCTCGCACTCACTAAGCTCCGCCACACTAGTACTACGGATTCGGTTGAGATAGACCCGAATGCTGTGGTCGCGTTCGAACCACTATGACTGTAGCAGAAAAGTCGGTTAGAATCGGTTCCAAACCGGGTCGCTTCGCTCAGGCCAGATAGGGAGTTGATGATATACTTGGCCGGTGAGTAATACTTATTTCTTCATCACTCATATGAATGGGTTCTCTAAAAAGATAGGAATGTTCTGGTAATTTATTCCTGATGTCGATGTCCTCTTTATTGTCACTGCCGTCGTTCTCAAATTCATCCTCATAATCTTCGTCGTTAGGATCATCATCATCAGGCATGACTGATAAGTCGCACACAGTGTCATTTGCATAGATGGTCTCATTTTCTACAATTTCTATATTGAGGGCATGCTTTAACCACACAAGTGGCCTCTTGCAAAGGACTGGCGGCACCTCTGATGATGAAAACTGAAAACAACCAGAACAAGCAACATACTACATCCTGAAATAAGTGAAGGCACACGTAAAGCCCAATAATTACAATATGTAAAACAATACCTCAACGTAAACATGACTGAACTCTTTCGAGTAACCATAACAGTTTGTAATCGTTACTGGATGGTCAGCCAAAACCCCTTCCCTTTTCCTTGCTCTTTCAATAAAGCTCTTGAATGTATTCTGTAAAAAATAAACCAACTCCCTCTGTAACTATATTCATGGAAGCAAACTCCAATGATTAAAGAAAAGTTAACCTAAAATAGCTACCTCCATGAAGGAATAGGGCAAATTCGACACTTTGATCACTTTAGATAAGTTGTCTTTCATTTTAGTAGGTGTGGCGATGCTACATATCCTCTTCTTATCAGGGCTAACCTCTTCAAATTAGTACATAAAAGAAACAATTCAAGTCAGTACAGGTCAACATGCCATGCACTAAAGTAGTAAAAAGATATGATCTTACCATCTCGTCCACGTTTCTCCAACTTTTTGTTGAATTTTTGAAGTGCAAAGACCGACAACGGCAAATACGCGCAAGATTTGAGAAGAGGCAAGTCTCACATCACTCGCTGCGACAGAAAAACTGGCGCGGTTGTACACGATCTTCTCTTGTTAAACTCAAATTTGGGTAGGGCAGACAACTGTGACGAAAAAATATCCCAATGTTGGTTCTCGAGAACCCGACGTCGTATCGCAAGCCTATAAGTATCAATGTAAACCTTAAAGACAGGCGAATAATCGGCTCGCTTTATGTTATGGACTAAAACGTGTCTAAACAGTGGAAAAGTCGATCTGAAAATAACCTCCCCCGCTAGCGGGGCAAACGTCGTCGTTTCAAAGACTGTCTATCGAAAATGTGACAAATAAATACAAGTATTGTGACAAAATAATAATCCTTGAACTGTCTCGTTTCCAAAAATATGTATTTCGATGAACTTAAGAGGTGTTAGGAGCAGCGAGAGGCCATCTAAGCACTCCGCGCCGACCAGGCGCGCTCGTCCACACGCACGCACGCACGCACCGGTGTTAACTAGAGAGCCCCCTTCTCTAGACCCGTGCATCGCACTCAACATATGAAAATACTGGAGGAAAGTTAAAAGTCTAGCAAATAATCGGCTCACTTAATATTGGGGTCCAGGATATCTCTAAACATGCGAAAATAAATGTTTAAAACGACCTACGCTAATTCGAATCAGCCATCTTCCTTTCAAACCGCTTTACTTGTAGAACGTGGCATAATAGTACCGATATTTTAACAGAATAGTATTCCTTGTTCTTTCCCCTTTCCAAAAATATATGGGTTTGTCCATTTTGGGCGTGATTAGGGAGTACGGCAGCAGATTTTCCACAAAAAGGCGCCGCCGGGACGCCCGCCCCGCTCGCTCGCTCGATCGCTCGATCGCTCCGCCGATCGGATTTTCCTTATCTGAACGCACCCCTAGACGACGCGCCCCGGGGTCCCTCGGCCGAGCAAGCAGCGGACCTTGATAGCCCTGCAGCAGGGACGGAGGCAGGGCGATGAGGCGAACTAGCCCATCATGGCGCTAGGCCAGGTACGAGAGGCCCTGTGTACAAACATGAACAGGTTAAAATGATGTTGGTTTGAAAAACGATACCTTGGTCCCTTGCTGCTGACACACACCTTGCGGGCGTCGAAAATACTGGTGATGATGGCATGGTGACGAGTGAAGGGAACTTCGACAACGCGAAAAGAGCCTACACGGAAAAAAATAAGTAAGCTGTGATAGCTAATGTGTTAGCTGCCAGCGTGACAAGCAATGCGTTAGCTGTGAGAGCTAATCTCTGTCTCTGAGAGCCAAGCGATGTTTACTATAGCAGATAGCTGTAAAAACTAATGCGGGAGAAAGTTTTTATAAGATGTTAAAGCTTAAATTTTTGCAGAGTTTTTCCTTTTACGTTGTTTAGGGTGCGTCCTTCCTCACTTCTACTGCCCTTAACAAGGAATTAGAACCGACCCGAGTGGGTGTTGAACCCTCGCCCATCGGCGCTGCGCTCCGACTTGGAGGCACTGAGCCACTGCGCGCGTTGAAACTGGGATGAAAAACAAGCATCAAGTGGGAACTCGGAAAAACAACCTTGATGTTTGGGCTTCAGCCCTATAACAGCTAGTAAAATTCGCTTGACCAGACTGTAAGCTGCCATAAGCAAACTCTGGTAAGCCGCGGTAGCTGTCGAGGGATTGGTTGGTAGA